GAATATTGTATTTTTCTAAGAACTGGTCCATTTCTTCTAGGTTATTAAATTTGGTGTTATATACTTTTTTGTAGTATTCTTGTATGATCTTTTATATTTCTGCGATGTCAGTCATAATTTCCCCTCTTTCATCCCTGATTTTGTTTATTTGTGTCCTTTCTCTTTTTTCTATAGTGAGTCTAGCCAGGAATTTGTCAATTTTATTAATATCAAAGAACCAGCTCTTTATTGCATTTATTTTTTCTATTGTTTTTTTGTTTTGTTTTCGGTTTCATTTATTTCTGCTCTAATTTTGATAATTTCTTTCCTTCTGCTGACTTTAGGCTTCATTTGTTGTTCCTTTTCTAGTTTTTTAAGATGAAGCATTAGGTTGTTTATTTGGGCTCATTCTTGTTTTTGGAAATTGGCCTGTAATGATATGAACTTTCCTCTTATGACCGCTTTTGCCATGTCCCAAAAGTTTTGATATGCTGTACTATCATTATCATTTGTTTCTATATATCTCTTGATCTCTTTTTTTTATTTCTTCCATGACCCAGCTATTTCTCCAATAGCATGTTGTTTAATCTTCATGTATGTGTGGTTCTTCCTGTTTTCTTTTTGTCATTGATCTCTAGTTTCAAACCTTATGATCAGGGAATATGGTTGGTATGATTTCACACTTCTTATATTTGTTGAGGCTATCTCTGTGTCCCAGTATGTGGTCGATTCTTGAGAATGTTCCATGTGCACTAGAGAAGAATGTATAAGCAGCTGTTTTGGGGTGGAAGGCTCTATAAATGTCAGTTATGTCCAGTTGGTCTAATGTGTCATTTAAGGATGTTATTTCACAGAGACTTATTTCTGCTTGTACAGATGATCAGTACCAGTTGAGGTTTGGCCCTCAATAGCCAGCCTGTGATTAGCTAGGCCAAAGCACAGTGCAGAACAGGGCTAGTCCCACCCTACAAAAGAGTTGGGGCTCTGCCAAAATATCAAGCATTTGGAACTCACCTACTTGATTTCAATCTCGCTTTTCTTTGCCGTTTTGCAAATGCTATCCAGTGTCACCTCAGCACCTCTTCATGATGGTACTAGCCTTTGCCTGGCCACCTGTAAGGAATAGCAGAAGATGTCCTCATACTTTAGCTGGACAGATGGACCTGAGGGAAGGAAGTGTGTTTTGATTGGAAAGGGGTCAGAGTAAGCGTCTTCTTGGAGGATGAGGTCAACATATGTAAATTTTTTGTTCTAATCAACAGGGCCTGTTTTGGAGACAAGAGACTTAAAGCAGAAAGGGATGGGGGTGGGGAATCCACAGTGACCTACTGTAGGCAGCTTCCTTGAAGGAAAATAAACAGATTCTCTAGAGACCCACTTATACAAAGGAATTCTCTCCTCCCTTCCACCACTACTCCTTCCCTTTCCCACTCCTCTCAAGTGTGGCTACCGCAATATCCCCTGTGTCCTACCCTGACACCACCTAAAGCTGGGCACCCTTGCTGTCCTAGAGATTGTTAGGATTCAATCTCAGTGCCTTGCTCTCTGGGCAGAGGGGAAGTCCTGCTAAGCCCAGAGGTGAAGCAGGACTACCTCTGGCCTCTTTCCCATCTTATCAGGGAATATCTGATGGGCACAGACATATGTACACAAAACCACACACAAAGACACAGCTCAAATGGGTGATGACGTTCCCCTGCCTGGCTGGTTCTGCAGGTGGGTGTGACTGGGTCAGAGTATAGGGAGGGTCTAAATATTTAGATATGAGACTGCCAAGCCCTCTTTGGAAAACAGGGGTCATTTCAAAACGAGCATTTTGAGAAAGAGAAATGCAGCCCCTGACAACTAGAAGCTGACCTGGGACTGTCAGCTAGGCCTCAGTGTTGCTACAAACTGGCTTGGCACTCATCGCTAAGCCTGAGTGTTATGTTGAAGGTAAACAGATTTACAAAACATTAGCATCATCGTACAAGGCCATTCTAACCATGGTAGATCAAGACAAAAACAAGACTACTCCACAATCATATATAAATATAGGTAAACACATGAACATTGCCCAAACCACAGAAATGACCAATACTCCTCTCCTTTCTTAACTAATCTGAGCAACTGCTGCTTCCTTACCAATTAGAGCATTAGCTTCACTCTAGTCTGCTCGTCTAATGGATAAAATTTATTTAATAAGGCCCAATCATCAAAATTACCCTGCTTCCTAACAGCATCCAATCCAGAGCAAAACTTCACTTCCTTAAACCCTCCCCAAATCAACCAGGCCAGCCCAAATCCTATAAGTCCTTTCTAGCACCTTCTTCCTGAGACGCCCCATGGTTCCCTAAGGTGTGCATTCCCCCTTGCTTCAGTGAGTAATAAACCAAACTTGTTCAACCATACGCGTGTCCTGGTGGTCTCCAGCTAGTGGATGTTGACAATTTGGAGACAAAGAGCCAAAAATATCTTCTGGAGGCCCACTACCAGGCAGGGATCCCCGTGAATTTTGCCTAGTCTGTACTTTCCGGAACATCTTACCTAATCCCAGTAGAGCCTCCAAGGTCTGTGTCTTAGTTGGGGAAAGCTCAAGAGTCAAGTCTGGGACAGAGGTGCCTGGCCTCCTAGGCAGGTTCCCACCTACAGTGTCTTGGCATTTGCAGTGCAACACAGATTCTTCTGGAGGAGCACCTAACATGAGTGTTGAGTTTATGAACACATACATACATTAATAAATTTGTTGGTCAGCTAGCAAACATTTACTGCACCGCTACTGCATGCCATGGTACAATAGGTCCTGGAGATAAGAAGATGAGTAATATATAGTCCCTGCACTCAGTGGCTTTATAACCTGGTGGCAAACACAGATGGATCAACAGGTACTATCATTGCAACATAAGTGCTTGGAGTATGATGCATGAATTCAGATCAGAACTTCTTTACTCCTCAAATTGCTTCATGGTTCTGTTTCTATCTTGTCTAGGTTTTTCTTTCACCGACAAAATCATGATTCTTCCTCCAGTCTATGGTATATTCTCTGTCATCTCTAGGGACAGAACATGAATATGTTTACTATACTTAAATGAATATGTGCAATACGCTTATAACAGAAGATGGAGCTGACATTCAAAGAGATTACACCTCTTTCTCTTCATTTTTCCTTAGCTCCTTCACTTTCCCTGCTTCCTCAGAGAATCTCTGCAGGTTCCCACCCCTTGTTTTCCTTCTCCCTGTGTTTCTTCCTCGGGTCCCAGTAAGTGCTCCCTGCCTGTGTGTTTTCTTCCCAAAGTAGTGGAGCATAATGGAAAGAGCACTCTTCTGGATTTGAGTCTCAGCACTACCATTCACTCATGGAGGACCTGAACAGCCACTTTCCTAAGTCCCAGCAGCCTCATCTGTGAAATGAGGGGAACGGACTAGATCATTCCTCCACCCTCTGCTCTAACCTCCTGTGTATGGCAAAGTCTCTCATGTGCTTGCACAGGACTTTCTTCGTCTTTCCATGGATTCAGTCGCTTTCCATCTCTTAGGTCAAGAGCAGGTGCTAATGAGACCTAAAGTCCTTGGCAAACATCTCCCCACATTGCCTCTGATGTCTCTTTGGCTCAACTAGATTTATAGGTTTGGTTTTGTGTTTATTTGTAGCTTATGATTCTTTGACCTAGCAAGTTACATCTAGACCTAAGACCCCTAGAAATTGCAACTTGCCTTATTCGCACTCCATTGAGAGTTTGACAGCCTCAAAACTGGTTGCATGAAAGGTGGCATCCTTCAAACCCTAAAAAGGGTTGGCTTCGAGCCCAGAATTTCCCTACGAAGCCTTTGTGATTAGATTATTCTATGCCATGTTCAGGCACATACATTCCTATCCAATTATTTAATGAGTCCAGTCCCTCCCTGACAGACACACACTGCAGAGCTGTTGGGTGGACAGCCACCATAACCCAGGGCAGCTCTCAACTTGATGCCAAGAGCTCCGAATCATCCCCCACCTCATACCATAAAAGGCCCAAGACCAGCCTGTTCACCCCCTTTGCTCTTACTTAGTCCATGGCCATTTCCACATTGGCCATGGTCTTGACATAGCCCTGCCCCAAAGTGCAGTGACAAGTGAGCTAGGAAGCTTGCAAGCTTCAGCAGCACCCAGCTTCTACCATAGAGACAAAAGGAAAATGCATGGAGGGAAAGAAAAAAAATCCAGTACCATGATTTGCTGGGTGGGAAAGGACATCTAGAGATCATTGCCTCCTCTGCAGGGAATGAGGAGCTTTAGGTGTTTCAGAGATCAGCAGAACTCTTCCAACTTGAAGCCTTCCCTGGCTCCAGCCTGAGACCCTTAGCCACCTTGTTGAGACTAATATCCCATGCAACCAGTGTAGGATTCTGGTCTCCCACTCCAGTGGGAGTCCTCAAACTAGTGGCATGGTGGGGAGGGGACAGTGAAAACAGAGAATCCTTGGCTTCAGAGTCATCCCCACCTCAACTTGGCCTGGGCCAATACCAAGTTCTAAGAGGAAGGGCTACAGTGACCTCTCAGGCAATCAGTTTAACTTAATGCAAAGCTTGAGGGAAGCTGAAGGCTCAGATATTCCCCACTTGTCCCCATGATAGCACAAGACCATGTGCTGGGCTGTTCCTCGGAACAGGAGGTACCAAAGAAGAAACCTTAGCTTCCAAGTGACCTCCACAGCCAGTTCTGAAGTCCTGAGGATGAAGAGAAGTCCCCAGATGCCCTCTCAGCAGGTGCTCTTTGTGGGTGGTAGATAATTGCAAAAGGATACCCTGGTACCCTTTACCCAGATTTGGGAACATGCAGTTCCC